GAAGATGTTTGTGTCCTTCTGCAAAGCACCATGTAAATTGATGAGATTTATATATAAAGAACTGAAAAATGTGTAGGTCCTGTAGTATCTGAATAGTTTATGGTTAAAGATGGGGAAGAAACCAGGATGTGAAACCATGGCTTGAAGTGGTTTGAATTACCAGTAGCCATTGATAAGCATGAATGGCCCAGTTCAGATGGTCATATCTCATCTTAATAACTGAGACATACACAGCTCCTTCTCAGCATACTGCAATAAACCTGAAAGCCTCCAGTTAACCATAGCTTCTCATGTTTTCTGAAACAGATAACACCGGTTATCGGGTTCAGAGCAAACCAATCTGAAGTTGGTTTAAGATCCTGACTTGTTCCAAACCCAGTAACCACAGTTTCCCAGGTCATATGTAACAGGACATGTAAGGTTGATTGAAGACTTCTGGGCATAGTTGTTGCAAGGAGGGAAGGGGCTGTGTGTGTAGGCGCAAACTTGTTCATATCTGATTGTCCAAATGTCAAAGGTCAGTGTCTGCACCAAGAATACCATGATTAAGGCAACTCTCTGTCTCTGTTTGCAAGATGATATACAGGTCTTGCTGTTGTCTCCCTGTGCACTTGCTCTGGGTGTACAGCTTAGTTTGCCAACTGGTTTCATAGAAAGTACAGGGTTGCAACTAGAGTTAAGAAAGTGAACCATGATTAATGCCAACCACATTTTAATGTTATGTCTGCATTATATTGCAGAGGAATGTTTTGTATTTGATTGTCAGATGAGAGAATATACAAGCAGTTTTTATTCTTTTCTTCTACACAGACATGCTTTTCGTCTTGTTGTTTAGGTGTAAGGAATATATAATGTCAGAAGCAGAGTGGCATGCTCTTAAGAGAGGAGATAGGAATAATGGCGGGGGGGGGGGACCAGTATACCCTCTCCACTTCATCTGCCATCTCTACAGGATATAGCTTTTGAGCACTTACTGGTAGATTTGAGGCCTAATTCCCAAGGCTTGCATGAAAGAAATCCTGTATGAACACTAACAAGGCTTCTCTCGAAGGCATAAAGGTGACTCAGATCTATAAAAATGACTTGAGTGGAAAGAGAGAGCACATTTCGCAGAGAGCCCCTGCAGGCCTCTTTCTTCTCCATTTATAAGGTTGACATGCAATCATCTTCAGATACGGAGTCCTTCACACAGCCTCTCCATATTCAGCAGCCTTCCTTTTTATATCTTGCGTGGACTGTAAGGTAAGATGCCCTTTTTACCCCCTCTAATTCGTTTTGTTTTCTTTCCACCCTGAAAATTTCCCAGACCCTCTGAAAAGGAGGGGGGATCATTATTCTCTGAGAGAGAAGCTGAGTGCCGTCTTGGTGAAGACAATGTCTGGAATATTTGTGGGATTGATAGTAATGATACACACCACCCCTTTCTCCACAGCAGTGTGAGATTCCAGGGGTTCTAGGAGCTTCCCCATGGTTTGTGTTTCCTGTTGGAAATGAGGAACAGCAGAGAGTGTAGTGTCTTCATGATATATGGTTTATTTACACATATATACAGCCTGAACCTAGAGGGAGGAGGTGCTGAATATTCACATCCCAAGAGGGTCCTGTTCCTTACATTGCTGTAGCCTCAGATTTTAAGATTATCTGACCCTCTCTGCAGCATAAAACAGACTGCCCGCCTCATGCTCTGGCCCCCTCCAGCTTGCAGAAGTGACACTCTCCCCCTCCCCCGTTCACTTACCTCATTGCCCACTGATTTTCTGCCCCTCCCTCCTGAAACTCTGGCCTTTTGTCTCTGCTAACTATCTCTCACCTCAGTGAGGGGCTTTCCCCATTTTCTGTCCAGCCTGGAGTCTCTGTTAATGGCATTGTTAATAGGTTAATGACTGGCCATCATCAGCCTTGGTTACCTCTGCTGAGCTGGCCTGGCTCATTAGCATAAACTAAATCCAGGGATTTCTGTGTTTGGCACAGTTTAATCAAACTTTGATTAATTCAAATTTTTACAATTCCAGGATTTTGAGTTGATTTGCACCCACAGATTCTGGCCCTAAAACTTATAACAGTATTTATTTATCTACTTTAAGAGCCTTGTTGTAGATGTAGTGAAATTCATTTGAATACATACACACTAATAGAGCGTGGTATTTGGAATAGATCTGAGGTTCCATGAAATGTGGATTTCTGTTTTTAAAGCAGCAACCAAAAATTGTAAATGTAAAGCTGTTGTCATGCTGCAGTTTGTATGGCCACCAGTAGGCGGCTACGGGGGGCAGGCAGCTTAGGCGAACTGTTTAGTGGATTGGGAAGAGGCGCTTAACTATGGTTCTTCTGTTTTGACTGCTCTGAAGACCCTAAAGAGGCTGGGAAAGTGACTTCCATTTGGTGAGAGTGACAGTGCTTTGAGCATCTGAGATGGCTGCTGCTAAGAGGCAGCATGGGACAGGCAAGGGAGCCCCAGCGGGAATGAAGAGAAGATGCACTAAGATTGCATTGGCAAGAAGTAATGAGGGAAAGGAGAAGCAAGACCCGTCCTCTGTGGCCCATTTGGGGCAGGATATGTACCTTGCCCAGACCATTATCTCACAGGTGGGCATACTGGGAAAAGAATGCCAATGGGTTACTGTTTCCCTGCTCTCCTTGCAGATTCTGACTTAACCTGGGAGATGGCAGTGATCCCTGTGGCACATGCTGAACAAAGTGCTTCTGAGCATTTGCAGAGTCTTGCAACCCAGTCCTAATCATGTTTGCTTAAAGAGGGAATAAAATAAAAAGAGAATAAAATTTAAGATATTAACTGATGCAAAGGAAAGGGGTGGATTTGCCCTGCCAGACTTCAAACTTTACTATGAATCAGCAGCTTTTTGCTGGTTGAAAGAATGGCTGCTTCTTGAAAACACTGACATTTTGGACCTAGAAGGTTTTAACAATGTATTTGGATGGCATGCATATCTGTGGTATGATAAGGTCAAAGCACATAAAGCATTTAAAAACCACATTGTCAGGAAAGCGCTGTTTAATGTTTGGATAAGATATAAGGATTTGCTAGAAAATAAAACCCCAAGGTGGCTGTCACCAATGGAAGCAAAAGCCTTGAAAAAGGTCAATATGGAGGTCAAATGGCCGAAATATTGGGAAATTTTGGAACAAGACGGAGATAGACTGAAATTGCAGAGTTTTGAAAACTAAAAACAAAGTGCGAGACTGGCTTCATTATTATCAAATAATGGAGGTATTTAAATTGACAGGAAAATTGGCTTCCAGGTGGAAAGATCCAAATTAGAAACAGAATTGTTAGAACCCAATACTAAGAACTTGTCAAGAATGTATAACTTGCTGCTGAAATGGAATACTCAAGATGAAACGGTAAAATCGGCTATGATTAAATGGGCACAGGACGTTGGACCTAACATTATGTTTGCTGACTGGGAACAGTTATGGACCACAGGTATGAAATTTACGGCATGTAATGCCTTAAGAGAGAATATTATGAAAATGATATACAGGTGGTACATAACCCCAGTCAAGCTTGCGAAAATCTATCACTTGCCCGATAATAAATGTTGGAAATGTAAAGAAACTGAAGGTACATTTTTCACCTTTGGTGGACGTGCCCAAAGATTAAGGTTTTCTGGGAAATGATATATAATGAATTAAAAAAGGTATTTAAGTATACCTTCCCTAAGAAACCAGAGGCCTTCCTCCTGGGCATAGTCGGCCAAATGGTGGTAAAAAAGGATAGAACTTTCTTCATGTATGCAACAACAGCAGCAAGAATACTCATTGCAAAGTATTGGAAGACACAAGAACTTCCCACGCTGGAGGAATGGCAGATGAAACTTATGGACTATATGGAATTGGCGGAAATGACTGGTAGAATCCGTGACCAGGGAGAAGAGTCGATGGAGGAAGACTGGAAGAAATTCAAAGACTATCTTCAGAAACACTGCAAAATTAAGGAATGTTAGAGTGATGTTGGACTGAAAACAAGTGGTTTCCAGCTGTACAGGTTAAAGTTATAGATTAAGATTAAAGATCAAGATTAAAGATGTTTAAAGAAATGGAAATTTGATAATAAAAGGGAAAAATTTAAAGTTATATGACATTAAGATCAAGGATTAGGTTTAAAAAAGTTGAAGTTATATATCTTAATGTTTTATTAAATTAAAGATTGGGATTAAAAAAGTGGAAAAGAAACTGCTGGACAAACAATGTAGATTGGAATACAAAAGAGGGAGGTATGAGGAAGTCCAGAAAATAAGTAATTTAAAACTGGAAATGGAAAAGAGAGTTTGTTTTTAATTGCTATGTTTTGTGTTTTTATTGTTAAGTTTTGTATTGTTTTTTGTGTGTGTTGTTTTTCTTTTTTTTGTTTGTTTGTTTAAAACTTTAATAAAAAATTATTTAAAAAAA